GATATTTATTTTTATTTTTTAAAATATATCCTTATTGATTTCACAGAGAGGAAGGAGGGAGAGAGAGATAGAAACATCAATGATAAAAGAGTCGTCATTGATCAGTTGCACGCCCCCAACTGGGGATCGAGCCCGCAACCTGGGCATGTTCCCTGACTGGGAATCGAACTGAGATCTCCTGGATCGTAGGTCGATGCTCACCCGCTGAGCCACACCCATCTGGGCCATCAGATATTTATTGAACACCTACTATATGTTAGGCATATGTAATGGCTCCTCTGTACTTATTTGCACACATCCATTGATTTAGGATAAATTCTTTAATAGAGTAGAATGTTGGGTCAGAGGATGAGCATATCTTGAAATCTGATTGTTTTCCTAAAAGCTTTTATACTGATAAACCATTGTTAGATACAGTCCTAATAATAGTAAGTAGGAGTGGTAGATTTCCTATATCTTATAAAATCACTGGATATTATTGATCTTTTTAGTATTTGTCAATTTGAAATGATACTAATTTGTATCTCTTTGGTTACTAGTGAAGTTGAACATCTTGTGCTTATGATTTTATTTCTTCTTTTGTCAGTTTCCTATTTATGTATTTTTCTTATTAATTTGTAATGCTCCTTATACACTAAGGATATTAAATCTTTGTTTATATTGTAGTTATTTTTCCAATTTATCATTTATCTCAACTTTTCTTCATAATGTCTTTTGTAGTGTAGATGTTTTACATTTTATAGTCAGTACTTTACAATTTCTGTTTTGGTTTATTGATGGCAGTCCTACCCCACCCTGATTTAACCTTAATGTTATTTTCTTTGTGTATTGAGAGATTTCTAGAAAATGTTTTTTAGAAATAGAAATTTCTGTATGAACCAATTACATCTATATTCTGGACTAATTTTATTTATTTATTTATTTGCCCCCTACACCCATACCACCCTACCCCAGGCCTTCCCCACACTATTGTCTGTGTTTTGGACTACATTTAATATTTGAAGTAGTTAGGGAAATGAGGAGTAGAAGGTAGGTGAGGAATCAAAACTTTATTTTAATCTTTTTTTAAATGAAAATCTCATAGAGATCAATCAGAACTTTTCTAGATCAATACTTGCCATAGAAAGCAAAGCACATATTGAACCTAATTTGCTTTTTATTGATCTCTAAAGGTTAGAGGTGTATTTCCTTGTTCCTTGTTAATTTAGATATGTAGGATATGGTAGATGAGAGAAATGATATAGTAACCCCATGAGATAGTCTAGGATTTACTTGGTCTAAAAATTTCTTGCATTGTGTGTCATCATTAGAAGTTATTGAAGTGAATGCTGCTTCAATTTGCATTCTACTTTTTGCATTTGTAGCCGCTTTTGCTTTTTCTAGTCCCTAAATCACATTCTTTAAAACCTCTGGTGATTTTTTAATCTCTGTTCTGTTGCTGTATCTGTACCTAATTTTTTTTGTCTTTTCTGTACTTTTATTCTTTTTTTTCCTTTTCTATTTCAACTTGAGCTAGGTAAGGATTGAAAGCACTTATTTCTTCTGGCTTTGAACAAATTAATCATACCATGTAATCTTTCATTTTTAATGTATAGATAGATTTCTTTCCAGCTTTGTGTACATTTTAGGCTACCTTAAGCTCTGAGTGCACCCCTCTTCTAGACAGTTGCATTTGCTAGCTACTTGGATGATAGTGTATATGTAGAAGTGTTATTGTCATTTGACCTAAAATACAATATTAATAATGATATAATGATATCATAAAGGTGTTGTAGATACTTATGAACTTAATAGTGAATCTGTCTTGTGACCTTGATCAAGTCATTTAAGGTGGCATATTTTTTATTTTGTGCATTTGGATGACCTCACATTTTAGCTTCCACTTCTTTAGATAGAATTTTGCTTACATAGCAAATGGAAGAGCCAAAAATTTAAGAGTTGGAAGACTTTAGTAATCATCTGGTACCTATTTTGTTCCCTCTACAAATATTTGCCTGGCACTGGTTTGGTCTTGAGGATACTATGCAGTGCCTGGCTTCATGGAGCTTATATCCTTTTATGAAAAGAAGGTTGTGAAGAAACTGTATAATTTTTTTTTTTTTTTAATTATAAGAGAGAGTTTATTTAGAAAGTTACAGAGGTAGTAGAAGTGAGCCAGCTGAGCTGCATAGGCCCAGGGAACAGATTATAGAAGCAAAAGAAGGGCCCTTGGAGTTTAGAAGAAAGAAAGGCAAAGGTAACGCCTAAGGGAAAGAAGAGGGGAATGGGCAAGAAAGATGCTGGCATGCTCGAGAGGGAGAGCACTTCAAAATTGTGTAATGTTATTTAAAGATTCCTCATTACGTTTTGGTTGGTCTTAATATGCTCAAAAGAAAAATGATCTGATCCCTTAAATGCTACATAGGTAAAGAGGAACTATACAGCGGAAGAGGGGACCTTGAATGAGTGAACTAGGTAGGACTGTGCCTCTCAAAATTCTTTGTATATGAGTCACCTGAGGATCTTGTTAAAATGTAAATTCTCATTCAGTAGGTCTAAGATAAGGCCTGAGATTCTGTATTTCTTACAACTCCCAAGTAATGCCTATGCTACCAGTCTGTGAACCACACTTTGAGTAGCAAGAAATGAGTGTATAATTAAGAAGAAAGAAAAATAGCCTGCTGCCATTTTAAGAGTAGTTTGGAGCCACGCAGCTAGGCTTGGTGAAATGAAATTGTAAGAGCTATTAATGTTCATTCATATAATAAGAGGGGATTATAAACACCTATTTTTTGAATGGCATCCAGAATTGAGCTTGGCTGGTGGATGGGTCTGAAACCTTTGAAAAGGTACTAGGAGATGAAAGAGATGAGAATCATCACATATGATCAAAGTAAATATCTAGTCAGATAAACAGAATTTAAAAGAGTTAAGCCCTAGCCAGTTTTGCTCAGTGGTTGGAGCATTGGCCTTCAGATTGAAGGATCCTGTGTTCAGTTCCTGGTCAAGGGCATGTACCTTGGTTGCAGGCTCGATCCCTGGCCCTGGGAGGGGAGGGCGCTGCGGGAGGCAACCAATCGATGTGTCTCTCTCACATCAATGTTTGTCTCTCTCTGTCTCTTTGTCTCTTCACTTTCTCTGAAAAGCAATGGAAAAAATATCCTTGGGTGAGGATTAAGAAAATAATAATAATAAAAAAATAAAAGAGTTAAATGTTGACTAGGAGGACTTAATTTGTAATTGAGAAGATTTCCTCCTTTCTTTGTACTTACTGTAACAGCAATTCTAGTTTAAAAAAGTACAAGTGAGTGCTGTTTTTTAAAAATAAATAATATATTTTCCATACACATATTTTCTGTGGAAAGTATGTCAAGCTTCTTTGTTTTCCAGGTCTGAATAAAGCTGCAATGTTGTGTGTAAGTTGTCCTCTGATCTGTTGCTCTAGTTGCAGCTACTTGGAGCATAAACAGTCTGGGAGTTCATTTATGTTCATAGTATTAGCAGAAGACTCTTAATCTTGGAGGTAGTATAAAGTGTCCAGTGGGTATTGAACATTTATCCATAGGGAGAAATTTAGCAAGCCAAATCTTTGAACCAGCAACCTTTTATTTAGTTCTGAGAATTCCCAATGCTTTTAGAAATTTAGATTTTTCTTTCTGGTACTATTTCAGTAATACTGTATATTCATAGTTCCTCTTTCATATGGCGCCTGGCTTGCTTCAATCTGAAGATATTGGAAAATTATTATGAACACTCTAATTTATTATGGTTCCATATTTTAGTATCATTGAAATATTGGTTTCCTTGACAATAGTTACAATATGGTAAGGAGATTTTTAGTTTATTGTGCTGTAATGCAGGAAGAAATATGTGAAATGTAATCATGGACAAAATCTAAATATTGCTTTAATTATATTGGCTCATTATGATCAAGTACATGTCAAGTGTTTTCATTAATAACATACCCAGTGCAATTTCTAGCATATTTGAAAAGCATTTCCCACAACTATTGTTATTTCTCTGGGTTTTTTTGGTATGTATTTAGTTCTCTTTTAACAGAACTGTTAAAACTGAAAGTAAAACATCAAAAGCATATAGTCTGTCTGTTTCTAGAATCAGGCCAATGAAGAAATGAAGTGAAACACACTGTTGGCTAAAAATACATTTTGCAAATTACATCCGAAATTGTTTTGTGAGAACATCTATTGGAAATGAAATTTAGCTTTTCTTTTCTGTGGGTTTTTAAAAACATTATCTGAAAATAGATGTCCATACAAAATAAGTTTCTAATGTCTTCTAGTTTTTAACTCATGTTTCCTTGGGACCATATAAGCCTTTTCTATATATTCTGAGTAGTGAATGAATATGCAGAATGTTAGAAGTAGAAGGAATTTTAGAGCTCATGTAAGTCAGATAGACACTAGAATTTCTAAAAAGAATTTTAGATTGTGTGGGGCTACAAGCTTTTGATTTCGACTCTAGGGTGTTTAAAAAACAACTACTGTCTATCACATCATCTCATTTTAACACCAAAAAGGTAGGAAGGACAATCTCATAGTAAGCACAATTGTAACTTTACACCCATGTTTGGTCATGGCTGGCACCTGTTCAAGGATTAGATTTCAGAAACCATTATCTAATGCAACCCTCTACTTTTAGGGATGATGTTTCTGAGCCCAGAGAAGTATCAAAGTTCTTACAGCAAGGCAGAATGGTAATGAGTTTAGAACCAGGTCTTCTGACTCTCAGCTCAAAGTTTTGATCATGTCGCCTTAATCTTCATCACATGATGAGACTTAGGCACAGTGAATTTATGCTTTAACTAAGTTCATATGGCTAGTAAGAAGTAGAGCTGGAAGTTGAATCCATATCACCCAACTACATTTTTAGTGAAGCCTGTGCATTCATTCACTTCCATGTAATCTTAACTCACTCTATCAGCCTCTGTTTAGTTGTAGAGATGGAATTGTGATTGAAAAGAGATGTCTATATTTAGCATTTTCTTTTCTTGAAAATTTCAGATTTGGGCCTTAAGCAGCTTCTTCCAGGCAAGAGGACCAGTGCAGCTTTCTTGCAACCAAAGATCTTGATCCACATCCAGAGATTGGAATATTGGTGGGCCAGCCATCCTCAGACACCTCACTTAGGACAGGTAAGTGAAAGAGAGAGTAAGGGTAAGAAAAATAGAATGGATGCTAATGTTCTTCCTTCCTATTTCTTGTTGGATATAAACAATTGACCACCTTTAAAAATTTAACCCTTTATTTAGCCTGGTCAAAACAAAGCAGTTGGAATCTTAGTTGGGTAGGGCAAAAACATTTTCTTGATTGTAAAATATGTGTCAAAATATTAACAGTGGTGAAACTTAGGGTAATTAAATATTTTCTTTCTCTTTTGTGCATTTTCCAAAGTGTATTCATGAGCACGTGTTAGTTATCTGTTGTTGCATAACAAACCACTCCAAATTTAGTGGCTTAAAACATTCCAGTTATTTGTTTTGCTCATGTGTCTGCAATTTGGGCAAGGCTCACTTGGTGGGGACAGTTTATCTCTGTCAACATGTGGTGTGAGGTGGGGTAGCTGGAGGGGTAGGGGTGGCTCAAAAGCTGGGAGCTGGAATCATTTGAAGTCTTGCTCACTCAAGTGTCTGGTGGTTAATGCTGGCTGTTGGCAAGGACCTCAGCCTGGGCTATCGGCCAGAACACCAACACATAACCTCTCCTTTTGGCTGGTTGGTTTCCTCACAGTATGGTGGCTGGGTTCCAAAGAGAAGAGAGAAAGGCGAAGTTGCATGGCATGTTTGACTTAGTTTTGAAAGTCATATATTGTTACTCTGCTGTCTTTTATTGGTTGAGGTAGTCATAAAGGTCCACCCAGCTTCAGAGGAAGGGGTGGACATATACCCCACCCCTTGAAGAGAGGAGTATGAACATCACATTATAAGAAGCACTATGGGATGGAATCTGCCATTAGAGCATCTTTGGAAAATATAATCTGCCACAGTTTGTGTTTTTTTTTAATCCTCATCCAAGGATATGCTTTTATTGATTTTAGAGAGAGAGGAAGGGGTGGTGAGAGAGAGAGAAACATTGATTGGTTGCCTCCTGCATGTGCCCTGACCGGGGCCAGGGATCTAGCCTACAACCGAGGTATGTGCCCTTGGCCAGAATTGAACCTGCAACCTTTTTGTGTATGGGACGATGCTCCAACTAACTGACCCACCTGGCCAGGGCTGTATTACTTTTAAGATAAAGAATGTAAATAACGTGTGTGTATTATATGAAAAAAAGGAGTATTTGCTGGAAATTGTGTGAGTCCAATAAGAATTTTGTGTGTTCTTCTTGTCTAATAGATTATGATATTGAAAATCAGATGCCTAAACAGGAAGAAGTGAAATAGATTTTGAATTTTCTTTTGTATCAATAAGAAGCATACTGCTATAATCAGTAGTAGAGACGAACTTATAAACAGGATGCAAAATAAGATTTGTAGTTTGGTTTTTTGTTTTTGAGAAAAAGGTGGTTATTTAGTTCAAAGTCTGCTTGGATATTTTGTTTTGTTTTAATAATTAGAATTATTTGGGAAACTGGTTTCTAATACATATAATAGATTTGAGAAACTAGTGCCAGTATTTGGTTGTCTTATTGATCACACTCACCAATGATATCAGTTGCTTGTGGCAGGTTTGAATATAGCTGGTACTTAATTTCTGGATGTAATGGGGGTGTCGATCTATTCACTATAGCTGGGAATGCGCTCTAGGGAGCATCCTATTATCTATTGGACCCAGAAAAGTTTCTTGTTGTCTAGGTGCTTTCCCATTCCTAGGTGATTTACGTCATATGAGCCTAAGTAAGTAGAGTTGGTTCAATACTCTTTTCCCAGTACCCACAGGTAGATAAGATATTTTGCAGGGGGAAAATTACTGAACCAGGCATTGTGATAATAAAGGTAACTTCAAAAGTTTGCACTCAACTGTGAATGACTGAGTTTGTGAAACAATATATTTTAGTTTAAAGGGTACAATAATTGGGAAAGCCAGGGGTTTTTTGTTTGTTTTTTGTATTTGAAAACAAAATGAGATGTTTTCCAGTAGACATAGATTGGGAATAGATTATAAGTAGTGTAAAATATTGTATCTTAAATAACAACAAAACATGAACATATATACAAACATATATAAAACCTTTAAGCCATTAACTTGCCTTTTTTGGTTTAAGCATTTTTTTAGGCTCACTTTTGCTTTTAAAAAGTCTTAGTAGGTAAATTGCTGATAACATCTTTGCCTCGTTTGTTCACTGCTCTATCTTGCCTCCATTCTATAAGGCCTGTGTTTGAAGGGATAAAAATTCCTTAAGTAAGAGAGATATGCTTTCTGACTGAAGCTAAAACAACCATAAAAATTCCAAAAACATCTTATAGAAATTGCAAATGTAATGATGTTAATATGGCACTTTATTCTATCCCTTGAAGGAGGTAAATGTAAATGGCTATGTAAATATTCTTTTAAAGTGCAAAAAGTATTTTGAATAAAGGCAGAAATTATATTTCTTTGGGGTTAGTGGTTCTCCTACTTACCATTATTTTTTCATGAGATTCTTATTTCTAAAATTATAATAATTCTCAGTTGAAAAATGGCATTTAGTTCATGCATATACAGGTTTTTGGCAAAACAGAAGTTGTTTGACTTTCTTCTTGTGCATGTCTTCCCCCTTCCCCATTGTTAACACATGTAGTGCCCTTTATGTATGAAACATTTAATGAAAATGTTTAAAATTTGTGGTAAGGAAGTGATTAGCATAGCATAAAATTTACCATATTAACTATTTTTAAGTGTACAGGTCAGTAATGTTAAGTACATTCACATTGTTGTGCAACCATCTCTAGAACTCTTCATCTTGCAAAATTGAAACTCTATAATCTTTAAACAACACCTCCTTATTTTCCCCTCTCTCTAGCCCCTGGAAACGAGCATTCTGCTTTCTGTCTATGAATTTGACTACTCTAGGTTACCTCATGTAAGTGGAATCATATAGTATTTGTCTTTTTGTTTCTGGCTTATTTTGCTTAACGTAATGTCCTCAAGGATCATCCATGTTGTAGTATGTGTCAGAATTTCATTCATTTTTAAGGCTATTATATTCATTTTACTTCAAAAATGTATTCATTTTACTCAGTATGATGTATAATTACATAGTAACATCTTACTGGGTTCTGTGGGAAACAAAATTAATTTTAAATTTAGTTGTGAAGGTGAGCTTTTGGTTATGCAAGGTGAAACTTTGCTTGAATTTTGGGGCCTTCAACAAGTTATTGAATTTATAAGTATCTGTTTCCTTATCTGTGAAATGGGGTTAATAATACCTGACTTTTAGGGTAGTTATGAAGAGTGAAGGAGATAATTTATGTAAAGTAACCTAATACAGTGCCTGCACATTGGAGGTGCTACAATAAGAGATATTATTATTATATTTGTTTTGGTGGGTAGACTTCGTGGTAGGGTGGAAGAGCAGGGACTTTTTAGTGGACAGACTTGATTTGACTCCTGGTTTCACGTCACACTAGATGCGTGGTCTTAGACAAATCAATTAATCTCCCTAAGAAAGTTATTAATGTACAGTGTTTATGTTTCAGGATTTTTAGAAGGACTAGAGATTTTATATGTACAGTGCAGCACCATGTAGACTCTCAATAAAAGATACCTGTTCCTGCTGTTTTTAGTTATTATTTCTTATTTTGGGATCCATATAATAGGTGGGGAATCAGTCATTGAATTTACTTTAGGAATTTATGTGAGGTTTACTTTATTTGTGATAAGAGGGACATTGTTGATTAATAGTAAAATTTTTCATCTGTTCAGAAAAATTTGTCAGCTGCAGAAATTGGACACTATTACTGTGGGAAACAAAAAGATTTTAAAATTTTGTTGTGAAGATGAACGTTGGGTTATGCAAAGTGAACCATGGCTTGAATTTTGGAACCTTGGTTTAATGGTATTGTGCTGTGAATCTCAATTTTTTTTTCCTCAACACTGCTTTAAGATTTAAACATAAGTGTAAATCTAGTTTCTAACTGCCAAGTGTTGTGTAATATTCCATTGTATATGCATTTTTAAATTTACTTATGCATTTTTCTAATAATGGATTTCTGGGTTTGGCTTGGAAACTGCTAACCCAAATAGCACTGCTATAAAATTCCTTGTACATATCCCCTATTGACTTGTGCAAAGATTTCTCTGTAGTATCTACTGTGGAAAAGGAATTGCTGACTTATGGTTCATATACATACTTAATTTCAGTAAATATTGCCAGCTTGTTTTCCAGAATGGTTACCCAGTTTATGCTCCAACTGGAAGTGTATTAGGGTTCCAATTTCCTTTAATCCTCACCAGCATTTGGTGTTATCTCTTTAGTCTTGTCAATCTGATGGGTATAAAATAGTATTTTGTCTTAATTGACATTTCTGTGATTGAGAGTGAGGTTGGGTTATCTCTTTATTTGATATCATTTGGGTTTACTTTGCATATTGACTAAAAAGTTTCCCGAAGAATACATATTCATTGTAAAATTTATTTTTTATATTAATCCTCACCTGAGGATATTTTTCCATTGATTTTTAGAGAAAGTGGAAGGGAGGGAGGGAGGGAGGGAGGAGGGGGGAAGAGAGAGAGAAAAACAAACATCAATGCCAGACAGACATGTCAATTGGTTGCCTTCCACACTCACTCGACCAGGCTGGGGATCGAACCGGCAACCCAGATAGATACATGCCCTTGACCGAGAATTGAACCCTCAACCCTTTGGTGCACAGACCAACACTCTAACCACTGAACCATGCTGGTCAGGGCTATTGTAGATGTTTTTGAAAATACAAATAGGCAAATATTAAAAGATCATTCATAATACCCCCAATCCAGAGATAATTGCTGTTAACTTTGGTTATATCTTTCTGGCCTTTAAATATTCATACACATACAAATTTATATACAGATACACAAATGTGTATTTTTGTTTACTAATAGGATCATATATACAGTTTTGTAACTTACACTTCTCATTTCATAGTAATTTATGACCATTTTCCCATGATGTTAGAAAGTTTTCTACATCACCTTGTAATAGCTGCATATCATTCCATTTTATGGCTTTAAGTTATTTAATCTTCTGTTATGGGACATTTATGTTATTTTTGGTTTTTCTCTCATTAACAATATTTTGGTGAACTGTTAATCAGTCCTGGTATAAGATCAGTGGTTCTCAGTGTGGTTCTTGGACTTTTATTAAAGAGCAATTGCAAACACTAAAATTGGCCCTTATCCTAACCTTCATCCTTAAGTGACTTTTTCCCCCTAGAATAATTGCTTTGGACTCAAACTGTTAATTTTATGATGGCATTAATAGTCTGCCAAGTTGCCAAGCTTCCAGATTTGTACAGCCTTAGAAATAATTTGATAATTTTAAAAAATATGTTTTTGTTAATTTCAGGGAGAGAGAGAGAGAAACATCAGTGATGAGAGAATCATCGATAGGCCACCTCCTGCACACCCCCTATTGAGGATCAAGCTTGCAACCTGGGCATGTGCCCTGACCAGGAATCGAACAGTGACCTCCTGGTTCATGGGTCGATGTTCAACCACTCTGCCACACCAGCTGGGCAATAATTTAATAATTTAATGCCTTAAAGTAAGCATTCAATAATTTTGTTCTTATTGATATCTCCAAAGTTTATAGTCTTGAGCTGAACAGTTAGTTCTCAGACATACTACTTGCTCTGAAAGAAATGATGAACATTAGAGATCAAATGATACCCTCTTATTCTTCAGTGCTTTATCTTACTTTCCACTATAGTATAGTAGCTTGGATAACTACTTAGCTTTAGTCAAGTTGCCTAAGTTCTTTGTGCCTCAATGTTCTTACCTGTAAAATTGAGTTACTGTTACCTATCTCACAAGGTTATCATCAGGATTAAATGCAATATGATATGTAATGTGCATAACACAATTCTCATAGGCACTTAGTAATTAATAAATTCCATTCAATTTCTCTTCTTAATATTAAATGTTATTCATAAGTCTCTCATTTTAAATTTTAATCGAATTTATTGGGTGACATTGGTTAATAAAATTATATAGGTTTCAGCTGTACAGTTCTATAATATATCATCTTCATATTGTGTGTTCACCACCCAAAGTCAAGTCTCCTTCTGTCACCATTTCATAAGTCTCTTCTTTAATATTAATATTTTCTCTCCTTACACCAGTAGTTCTTAACCCTTTTTTGGGTCTTGTCCTCCTTTCAAATCGGACATAAGTAATGACTCCTCTTACCAGAAGAATGCACATGTCTATTGAACTTTACCTGCAGTTTTGGAACTTTATAGATCTAATCCTTAACCAGGTTAAGGATTTTTGCAGAACATCATCTCCTTGGCAGACTATCCAGTTCTGATTTTCACTGTCATCTCAGTATAGGTGGCTTCTAAATCTGGTTCTCTCTCTTGTGAACTTCTGCCTGCTACACATATTTATCAGATTATCTTTATGTAATAGAGATTTAAATAAGTGAATAGAGAGATAAAGCACACATTTTAATTACTGATATTATAGGCCAAATAAATTTTATGGTAAGTTGTGACTAGACTTAGAGATCTGTGCTCACTATAAACTACAACAAATAAAGCTAAGTGAAGTTAGATATTGACTAAGGCCCAACTGTCTAATTTCCTGGGGTATCCATTAAAGCTTACTTGCAAACTTGTGAGAAGGGTTTTGGTCACAAATTGTAGCTAAGAAATCAGTTTCCAAGAAACCACAAAATGTGGTAACTTCTTTTATTTTTTTTTATTTTTAATGTTGTGGCAACTTATTTTGGATTATAGGTTATAGCCAAAATGTAATCTTATCTAAAAGTTCGCTGTTTCACTTTGAAGTATTACAGATGTCTGTGTATTATTAGAGCCTCGTACCATTATCTCTTCCACTCCTACTCCACACAGTTTTAGTTAGGAATCCAATAGTTGAAGGGGACAGAAACCCAATTTAAGGGGGGAAAGGAGTTATTGGCCCAAGTAATTGAATAATGCAGAGTCAAATCTGATTTAGCAGAGATAGATGGGGCTCTTAGTTTTATTTCTTATTTCTCAGCTCTGTTTTTCTTTGCCCCTTTGCCTTCTAAGGCAGGTAGCTTTCTTCATGTAGTCAGGGAAGATGGCTGCAAGCAGCTCCAGTTTATATTGGTTTTATGTTTGCAATCTCAGAGAAGAAGAGGTAATCTTCTCCATAGTGTCAGGAAAAAAAAAAAAATTCCTGACGAAGACTGGACTTTGATGGCTGAATTACGTATATAAATGATTCTCAAACTCTGGTACCTGGACCAGTATCATCAGCATCATCTGGGAATTGCTAACAATGTAAATTCTGGGGCCTCTCCCCTGACCTACTGAATCAGAAACCTTGGGGTTAGAGCCAGCAGTCTGTGCCTTAATAAGCCTTCCAGGTGATTCTGATGTATGCTAAAGCTTGAGAACCACTTGTCTATATCATTGGTGTACACCGCTGCCTGAAAAGAAGAGAGAAGGAATCTTCACCATTAGAAATAGTGGTTTTATTACAGCCCCTAACAAGCACAGCTGGAAATTAAAAAAAAATTTTTTTTTTTAATCCTCACCTGAGGTTATGTTTTTATTGATTTTTAGAGAGAGGAAACGTTGTGGGGAGAAAGAGCAAGAAAGAGAAAGAAACATTAATTTGTTGTCTCCTGTACGGGCCCCAACTGGGAATCGAACCTGCAACCTAGCATACGTATGTGCCCTGATCGAGAATCAAACCTGCAACCTTTTGGTGTGTGGGAGAATGCTTCAATCAACTGAGCCACCTGGTCAGGGCAGAAATTTGTTTTTTAATTTAAATTTCTACAAGGCTATTGTCTGTGCAGTTCATTTCGAGCATTTCAGTTCTCTTTAAGGAGATGAGTTTCTCTAATATTTTTATGATGGACT